TAACAACAACAATAGTTCTAGGTTTTACATTTAGGTTGTTAATCCATGTTGGATTTGTTTTTGTATATGGTGTGAGATATGGGTCTTGTTTCATTCTTCTTCAAATGGATTTTCAGTTTTGCCAGCATCATTTGTTGAAGACACTAACTCTTCACCATTTAATGTGTTTTGGCCCTTTGTCAAAGATCAGCTGACTATGTATGAATTGATTTACTTCTGGGTTCTCAATTCACTTCCATTGATCTATGTTCCTTTCACTGTAACAATACCAGGCTGTTTTTAACACTATGAATGAGTAGTGAATTTAGAGGTCAGGGAATGTTCTTCTTAAGCAGTGCTTTGCTTATCTGAAGTCTCTTTCCTTTCCATATAAAATTAGTGATAATTCTTTCCATCTCTTTAAAGAATGATGTTGCAAGCTGGATTGGGATTGTTATATCTATATATTATTTTAGGTAATGCTGACATTTTCACAATTAAAAGCATTCTTTTTAAGATTGAGAACAAAGCAAGTGTCCACCTACATGGCTACTGTTGAACATAATACGGGAGGTCCTGGCCAATGCTAGAAGGAAAGAAAGGAACCGAGGAATAAGGATTGAAATGGAAAAAGGAAATAAATGGCTAATATTTGCAGGTGATGAAACCATGTACCTAAGAAACAAACACAGAAGTAGACACGCTATTGGAAATAATTTTAAAATCTCAATAAGGTTTCTCATTATAAAATCACTCTACAAAAATTAATTTCTCTACACTAGCAATAACTAGAAAAGATAACTTTTAAAAAGACAATTCTTATAACAAAAAAATATATCAAGCATCTAACCAAAAATATTGATAAGTATACCATGAATGATCTGGAACCTGCCAACCAAATCAGATACTGGGTCCTCGTTCTTCTCAATTTCAGGAAAATGGTGTCCCTCATGGAAGCACAGTCCTGGTGATCCTTTCTTAACGGCAGAGAAAGCCGGAGCCCTAACAAGTCCTAGCCCAGATATGTTGCTGTTATTGTTAAAAGCCATTGAGTCTGCTGTGGCTCATAGTAGACCCTGTAGAGTTTTCCGAGGATCAGCTGGTGGGTTTGAGCCACTGACCTTGTGGTTCGCAGACCAGTGCAGATCCTACCGTGCCTCACCAGGAGTCCAAAATATAGAGCATTAGAAACTTAGTACCTCTACTGTGTAAACTGATTTGCATCACAATGTTCTCCTCATCACAATGTTCTGTAAAAAGTGGCCACAATGAATAATTTTCAAGACATTGTGGGGCATAGTCCACCCCACATCATGATGCAGTGGGTTGAGTCAGGGCATTTGTGTTCTAATTCCAGGTCTATCGTTTGCTAGCTCTGTGATCTCAGAAAAGCAACTTAAACTTAACCTTTGCATCTCATACCTTCCTCTATAAATTGATGATAAGTCTGCCCTTTATATTTTACAAGCTATAAGGCAGAAAAAATGAAATAGTATAAGATACGTAGGAAGTTATAAGAGCCATGGTGATGCAATAGTTAAACCACTCAGCTGCTAACCAAAAGGTCTATGGTTCGAAACTACCAGCAACTCCATGGAAGAAAAATGTGGTGGTCTGCTTCCATAAAGATTGTTGTTGTGTTGCTAAGTGCCATCGAGTTGGTTCCAACCCATAGCAACCCTGTATAGGGTTTCCAAGGAGTGGCTGGTGGGTTTGGATCCCCGATTTGCAGTTCAAACTGACCTTGCAGTCTAGTGCATCATCCTGCAGTGCCTCATCAGGACTCCATAGGGAATGTTGTTGCTGTTGTTAGGTGCCATTAAGTGGGTACTGACCCATAGTAGATTACAGCCTTGGAAATCCTATGGGGCAGTTCTACTCTATCCTATAAGGTCACTGGTGTGGCGCTGTGGGCTAATGCGCCAGACTACAAAGTTGTTTGAACTGCAAAGTAGGT